TGATTCCAAGACGTGTATTCTCAATCTTTTAATATCTGAAGTTGATGTGTTACACGTTAATTAGCAAAGTGTTTTCTTTCTTAGTAGTATATAAAATAATGATGGGTCCTTATAATTAATGGTGTCTTGGATCCAAAGATATATGGACAATTTCTCATATAGTTATGAGTGCTCCTTCAGTGGGAGGCCCTGCCTAGAATGCAGTCCCCACAGCACCTCAGACGTTCAATGACAAGTGGCCAGAGAATTCCAGGAGGTTCTGCCCAGGCGGGAGTGGGACCGTCCTCGGTCTTCCCTGACGTCAGCAATGGCCCCGAAATCACACTGACGCTGCTGTGGCTGGGTGAGCAGCCATCCTGCTGCCGCAGCTCTCTCCCCTCCATTGGGGATTAGCCACACCAACCCTCCCCCGCTGATTCCACCCCACTGCCAAGTCTCTTGCTTCCTTCCTCCACATTTCTGGAACAATTTTCAGAAAGGTCATGTATTTCCTATTCACACAAACCACCCCCTTCCTCACCCCTGCACGCACTGATGCATACTTCCTCCCACGCCCACAAATGCCAGGCCTGCCAGCAGGAGCGGCGATGGGCGCCTCAGCACCCGCACCCAGAGCCGAGATGGGGGCGCCTTGCGCTCACATAGCCTCGTCACAGAGCTGCATAAATACACTCCACAGTGAGCCTGCACCTCTTTCTCTGGTGGGTTCCAAGTTATTTCTCAGAAGTTGAACACAAAATACGGTAAGAAAGAAGGCTGTTTCAAAATGCCGAATTTTGGGGCACCTGGGTGCCCGAGTCAGTTGAGTGTCTGCCTTCTTCGGCTCGGGTCATGACCCCAGGGTCCTGGGATCGAGCCCCGCATGGGGCTCCCTGCTCCGCGGGAAGCTTTCTTCTCCCTCTCCATCTGCCTCTCTCCCCTGCTCCGCTCTCTCTCTCACTCACTCCTTGAAATAAATAAATAAAAGCTTAAAAAAAAGCCTAATTTTGACTTGATTGTGTGAGGGAGCTCCCAAAATTCATATTTTGATGTGAAAAGTATTGATAGTGATCCAATTGCAACCTAAGTGAAGGGTGTTACAACCTCTGTATGCACATACCCTTAAGCAACCTCATTCACATATGTGACCGTGTCACAGAGTAACAGTCTATAACAGTCCCCACAGAGATTCATCTCAAACTCCTGGGCAGCAAAAGTGGACAAAGCATGGTTCCAAGTTCAGGCCACAGCTTGAATATCAAATTATAGTATGAAAAGGCTGAGTGTTTTTGTGGTGAAAGCACCCGAATTCCTTGGAGGGAAAAAGGAAGCTCAGAATGAGAGAATAATGCCCCCAGGAAGATGGCTCAGGGTGGGGGTGGGGGGCAGCTGTTCTTTCTCTCCAAAAAGCTTAAAATACCCAATGCCTCCTGCCATCTCTGTCTTTCTGAATGACCCCCTTTTCCTTCCTCACTCCTCTGGGACCAGCTCGACTCCTGGCCCCCACCTCTCCCAGCAGGGTTTTCATCAAAGGCTCTCTATGTTTTCATCACAAATATAGTCCTAATACATTCTTAAAGGGGCTACTAATAATTGTGGAGCACTTACTGTGGCTGGAGCAGCTGGGCCACATTCTGAAGGCGGATGAGATGGCTGTAGGTGATGGCCTCATGGATGTTTTTATTTTAATGGGGGCATTTATTACATATATTAGAAAAAATATAGAGCCAGCACCTGTGATCTTGTAGATGTAGTTGCTCAAGATTTCTGAGTTAAAAACATTAATTTCAAGTTGATTTTCTTTTTATAATTAAGTACAGAATAGCATAGGCAACACCAAACTCTTGATTCTCTCAGCCCCAAATGTGCTCCTCTTCCAGAGATCCTAATCTCAGTAAAGGGCACTGCTGTTGTTCCAACTGAAAACCCTGCAGTCCTTCTTGACTCTTCTTCCTCAGTCATGCACCCCACATCTGATCCACCAGCAAATCCTAACAGCTCTTCCTCCAAAATACAGCCCTTCCTAAAAACCACTGAGTTTCACAGCACACTTAGAATAGAATCCAAAGTCCACACCAGGGTCCACAAAGGTCCCTTGGACCTTGGCTACCCCCACTCCCCCCAATGCACTCTACTCCAGCCACGCTGGCCTCCTTGGTGCTCCCCAAACACAAAAGCCTTTGCATCTCTATTCCCTCAAGCAGAATTACTCCCTCCCAAATCCCCTCCTTCAGCCCATCAAATGTTGGGAGGTCGTCCCCTACCACTCTAAAACAGCCCCTCCACCATTCTATGAATCCAGACTATTCTTCCTTACAGCACCAACTGATGCTACAGATATTATATTGTTTACAATCTGCATTTACTCATCGTGACTGTCTAATTAGAACAGAGGCTTCATGAGGAAAGTGTCCCCTGTACCTACACAGTATCTGCCACATAACAAGTGCTCAGTGACACGTCAATGCTCTGAACTGAAGGTGGAACTTCATGGCTGGACTGTGACCATGCTGGGCTTAGGACTGTAATGTGTTAGTTCATTTAATCCTAACAGCACTCCTGGAAGTCCTTTCTTTTGGGAACCAAGGTTCAGGGACGTTAGTTAAGTGACTTGCCCAAGTCCATATGGGACTTGTACTTTTTGTTAGGCTGCGAAGGGCCCAAGTTCCCTTGAACACATCAAGCTACCTTCAAAAGCTCTTCTTTTCTTCAAAAGACCTTTTAAGGTACCATGCTGGCTACGGACCAAAGGTGAAACTCCTCAGTGCTCTGCCATCTGGCCCCAGCACACCCTCCCAGCACCACGTTGTCAGCAAATCCCCGGCCCTTCTGCAAGCCTCCACTGTCCCAGTCAAATGAAGCCACCCACAGCCCCTCAACACTGACGACAGAGTGCCTTACGCACTGTGTTAGTGGTTGATGGCTCCTTCCCCCATGCTGCAAATGCAGTGAGGGCGCACACCCACCTTCTTTATCTTTGTATCCCCAGGCCCTGCAACCACAGACCAGGGACCCTCATGGCCATCTGCTCAATGCTGCTAGTGAGCTGCTCTTACCAGACTCAGGACAGTGGAGAGCAGGTCAGTGAGCCACACACGCTGCTTGGACACTCAGACACCCTGTGGGCAGAGACGTCTGGTCATCCTTGGGGGGGAGGGGCCTTGCGTGGACATCACTGCCATCCCCTTGCCTTTCGTCACGATGCTGTGCGCTTAAAGCTAATCGTCCTGTCTTGAAAAGATTCCACTTCCACCCAGGAACACATTCTGGAGCTAGCAAAGCTTCTGCTTAACCCGAGTCCCCTGGGCTCCATCACATCCAGAAGAGATGGACGCTGGAAGCCACTCCCCTCAGCAAGCCGAGTCGGTGGCCCACAGCAGTTACCACTTCCAGCATTCACTACAGTCCAGCCTGTATTTCTGGAATTTTTACAATTAGTAAATTTATACAGGGGCCCTGCCCTTTGGAAGCTTACAAAGCAAAGGGCCGGCCCTACCTAACTCGATGACAAGGCTGACCTGCAGAGCACTAGTAAAATAAAAGGTCAGCCAAAGGTGTGGAGGGGGGGCGCCTGAGTGGCTCAGTTGGTTAAGCGATTGCCTTCGGCTCGGGTCATGATCCTGGAGTCCCAGGATCGAGTCCCGCGTGGGGCTCCCTGCTCAGCGGGGAGTCTGCTTCTTCCTCTGACCCTCTCCCCTCTCATGCTCTCTATCTCATTCTCTCTCTCAAATAAATAAATAAAATCTTAAAAAAAAAACAACCAAAAAGAACAAAGGTGTGGAGGGGAAGAGAGCAATCCCCACTGGGGAAACCTGGGAATTGCCGTGGCGGAAGAGCAATTTCAAAGGAAGTCTACACAAAGCTTGTCATTAGTATACAGCACTGCCGGTCATCCCTGCCCCCAATTCTGATGCTTTAAGGCCCTCGAGAACAGGAAGGCCAGTGTCTGCTGTATCTTTAAGGCCAAGGCCAAGCCCCGGACATGTCTACAAATGCTTTTTTACAAATATTTATTGAGTGCCTGGCACCTCATGGTGGTTAAGTGCCGGTGATACTGTTCATTGTAGATCACAAGTACAGGAGGCAGACAAGTGCACAGGCAAGCACAACAGACTGCCCCACCTGGGGAGGACCCAGACGCCCCACACCCTACACTGGCCGGTCAGAACAGGTTCATGGCGTCAAGATGTGTGTGCATCCACGTGCACGTGTGTCAGGAGGATGCAGGGGCTGTAAGACACCAGCGACAAGCCCATGAGGGTCCAGACTAGGGGGTAAGAGTGAGTCTCAGGACAATGCTCCTACGGCCTGCTCTCACCTTAGAGTCAAGGAAACTGAGGCACAGTGCGTTAGAGCCAGGACCAGAACCCGGGCTGCCACTCCGGTCACATCTTCCGTAGTGCCAAGAGGTGAACAAGGTTTCTAGAATCACACTGCCTGGTTTTAATCCTGACTCTGCCACTTACTAGCTGTGTGGCCTCGGGCAAATGGCCACCCCTCTGTGCCTCAGTTTCTCACCCGTCCAACAGGAATAATTGTAGAACCTACCTCCCGGGGCTGTTATATAAATTAAGCTTACAACGTAAAGCAATTGGCAGAAAACCCGGGAGATGACAAGCGGTACACAAGCGGCTGCCGCGGCTCTCACTGTTATTATCCCACGGCCGCTCGCTGCCCGCGGGGGCCTCACCACCCCGGCCATCTCCGCCGCGGCGCGCCAGGTTCCCTTCCGGCTCCAGGCCGCTCCCCACTCTCGACGCGCCCTTGACGCTCGGGGTCGCTGGACCACGAATCCCAGCCCCCGACGACCGGGCGGCAGCGCGCACGCGCGGACCTCGCGCGGTCGCACGCGCCCCCGGCCTCGGGAGTGAGGGGGGCCGGCCCGGGAGAGGGGAGGGCGGCGGCCACACCTCGCCAGGGAGAAGGAGGCGGCCCAACGGCGGAGAGGGAGCCGCGACTGGACCCGACAGGCCCCCCTTGGGCTCCCAACCCCCAGCCCGGAGAGCGGGTCGGTTCCTCACACTCTGCAGCAGGCTCCTCCTCTGCGCCGCCATCTTGGAGGGACCCCCCGCGGGTGCGCCCGCCTCCCACCAGAGCAGGCGAGAAGGGCGGCTAGAGCGGTCTGAAGCCGGCCGGGAAGTTCAGGCGCCAGGGAGCGCGCGCACAGCGCCACCCCATGGCCAAGGTGGGATGGGGCCGTAGAGGAGTGTTGCGCAGGCGCTGTCTTCCGCTGTTTTCGCTTTTGGGAGGAAAAGGGAGGGCTTTCCTAAATGATGGCCTCTCGCCCATTTTATTTGCGCGTTTTCTCCAGGATGATTTCAGGTGGGGCTCCTAAGACACCGGATTTGCGTTCTTTATGGACACTTTGGGGGTGGGGTCCGGTGAATTATTCATTCACTCGATAAATATTCCTTGGGTGGCCATGTCTGGCCCTATGGGGTGAAGCAGCAAGCAAGACACCCTCAGAAAGCTAATGTTTTAATTGGGGAGGACATCATTTACATACATAAATCATTTCGAGGTGGGCTAAATGCTAGGAAGAGAAGTTTATGGATGTGGCATGGGAGTGAAGGGCGTGCCAGGCCGAGGGGACAGCTAGTAGTGCCCAGGCACGAGAAAAGGGAGCGTGTGAGTGTGGGTTCAGGAAGCATGCGTGTCACAGAAGGTCTCTATGGCTGGAACAGAGGTGGAGGGGAAGTGAGATACAGGGCTGTGGGGTGAGTTCTGACCTTGCCTGCTCCAGGCTGGAGTTGAGCTATTCATGTGGTGGACAAAGGAAAGTTGTTGACTTCTGAGCAAGGCAGCGACATGAAGACAAAGATGTCTTCGACTTCTATGTCCAAAACAGATGTTTAGGAGTATTGGAGTGAAGATCAATTAAGGGACTGTTGTGTTAGCTCAAGGCAAGAGATGAGAGTAGTTTTGAGTCGGCTGCCACTGCCAAGTCAATGGATTTTATTTAGGAGATGAAATTGTCAGAGCTTGATTCATGGATTGGTTGGCATTGATGATGGAAAGAGATTTGTCAAAGATTCTCCTAGATTTCTTGAAAGAACAGCTGGAAAATCTTGGAGGGAGGGAGAAGGGAGTGAATGACCTTGAGTTCAGCTTGGACATGTTGAGTTTAGGTGCTTTTAACACATGCAAGAAAAAGATCAGTCCTGAGATGGAGAGGGCGAGAGAAGAACACAGTGAAGGAGCAGGAGGGGCTGGAGAGGCCGGGGAGCAGAGGCACATAGAACCCAGGGTGAGGGGCGCCTGGGTGGCTCAGTCGTTAAGCGTCTGCCTTCGGCTCAGGTCATGATCCCAGGTCCTGGGATCGAGTCCCACATCGGGCTCCCTGCTCGGCGGGAAGCCTGCTTCTCCCTTTCCCACTCCCCCGGCTTGTGTTCCTGCTCTCGCTGTGTCTCTCTCTGTCAAATAAATAAAATCTTAATATAAATAAATAAAGTCATATTTGTTGTTTGCAGAGGCCTTCCTGAGGGCAGGAACTGTGGCAGTTCAGCTCTTGGTCTCCTCACAGGCTCCAGAGAAACAGCTCAGCAAATGTGTGTGGCACCTAGTCGATTGAAGAGGCAGAGCTGAATAGATACATTGGTAGATGAGGCAGATGGGGGACAGGCCATCTGTCCCCAGGTCCCCAAGTGACTAGAGGGGAGCTGGGACTATGACTTGGGGCTTCTGCTCCCCACCCCAACTCCTCTTTCCACACCTGACCACCTAAATAATCCGCTGTGGTGGGTCCTCCTTCCAAAATGCCTCTGGTCTGGTTTTCCAGGTGATGTAGTTCTGGAATGTTGGTGTGTTGGAGGGGTCTGGAGCCGATGGCCAAGAAAGAATTCTTGAGACGTCTTTGGTGCAAAAAAGGTGGTTTTATGAAAGCATGGGGACAGGCCCCGGGGGCAGAAAAAGCCGCACTGGGGTCGTGAGGAGTGGCCCATTATAGACTTTCAAGTTGGGAGGAGGTTAGGGATAGCGTAAATCTCTAAGGAATTTGGAGGCAAGGTTTCCAGGACCTTGAGGGGCTAGCTGTTGTTTAAAACAGGTCATTTACTGGGGCGCCTGGGTGGCTCAGACGTTAAGCATCTGCCTTCGGCTCAGCTCCCTGCTCGGCAGGAAGCCTGCTTCTCCCTCTCCCACTAAAAAAAAAAAAATTCCCTCTCTCGCTGTGTCTCTCTCTGTCAAATAAATAAAAAATCTTAAAAAAAAAAAAAGGTCATTTACTACTGTCTAGTAAAACCTTACTCAGAGACCCTTCAGATGTGTATCAGGGAGCCATATGCTTGGAGGATGATTGCTAACGTCTATCTTGGGGGCGGTGGGGGGAGGTTGGTGGTAGAGAGAAAGGAAGTTTCCAAAGGGATTTTTACAGGATCCTGGAGGTTGGGCTAATGTCGAGCTAAGGTGGCCTTTTGCCTCCAGCAAAGTATTCACAGGGAGGTAGCTAAGGAAGGTCACCCTGTCTGTCCCAAGTACTTGTCGATGGGCTGCAAAGGAAATTTAGTTTTTTCTATATTCCTTTTGCCTTTGTTCTCCACATCAGTGAGACAGGGAAATCTGCTATGGACAGTTCCCCTTCTCCTCTGGGGACAGCGTGCTGGGGCACCAGGTTGTGACGTGGATCCTGTTTTCTCCAGGACAGCCCTGTGGTTCACACTGGGGCTTGCAGTCAATCCGACAAGCCAGAGGAGCAAAGATTCCACAGCTACTGACCTTGATAACCACTTAAACAGCCAGAGAGAGCTCCAGGCCCGCTCACCAGAGCCCAGATGGAAGGGCTGACCCGCAGGGACCAGGGTCCCAATGCGCTGTGCAGTGTCCACATGGCCCAGAACATCAGATCATTCTGTGCCGCTGCACCATGACCCTTCCAAACCCCAGACCTCGGAGGAAAACCCAGCCGCGCAGCACGGAAGCAGAAGCCGAGAGGGCTGGGCACGGGAGGTCGCAGAGGCCCCGTGTCACAGGGTCCGCAGCAAGGCTTTCTCTTTTTGCGCTCCAGCTGGCTCCATCGGTCCCTCGTGTGGCTTCTCAGTGGCTGCCGGGACCCTGGTTTGCAGATCGCAGCTTGGAAAGATGACGCTAAGGACACCGAAGAATGTTTTGAAGGGTGTCCCACCATCTGCACACCCACCTTCCTTTTCACCGTCTCCGTTCTGGCTGGGACCCCATGCCGGTGAACCCTGGCTGCCAAAGGAGAGCGCAGAGACCACCTGGCACCCGGCTCTTTGCCTTTCTGGATTTTTCCTGGCGCAAGTGTTTTGCCATGTGGCTGCGTGGTCTTCACATTGATCATCTTAATGGAGGTGTCATAGTCCTTTGACTGGATACACTCTCGTTTCCAAATGTTCGCTAATAAGCTTGTTTCCACTGGGGGGCTGTTACAAATAGCTCTGCAACAAACAGTCATTTATGGGTTTAAAAACTATTTATTGAATTTCTTAGAGAAGCACAATGAAGTATATAAGGGGGAGGGGAATGATTTGCTTTATTTTAGCAAATAGAAGAAAGAAAACGGGAGAGCTGGGGCCAATGGGACAAAATCAGTGTAACCTGGGCTGATGGGCTTATAGGGTCTCTTGGTGCTGCTGTCTCCTTTTTCTGGGTATGTTTGAGATCTTTCATAATAAAAACTTGAAAAATGCGAACATGGTCCCTGTCCTAGCTCACAGTCGGACGAAACAGACGAGAAACCAGGATCTAGCAGAGCAGTGTGACAAGTGCCAGGATGGGACTAGGGGACCCAGACGAGGGCCACTTACCTCAGACTTATGAAATCAGGGAGGGCTTCCTGGAGGCAGTGACCCCTGATGCCTGAAAGATGTGGAGGAGGTGGTCACATGACACTGAAGGGAAGGGTGTTCCAGGCAGAGATCCTGTCAGGAGCAAAGAGCCGGTAGAGAAAGAAAGTGGCCCAGATAAAGCCTGGTGCGATGGTCCATCTGGCCCGAGTGTCGATGAGGTTGAGCCAAAACTGGGGCAGGGGGCAGGGGCCGGCCCAGCGGCGGGGCGTGAACCTCAGTCGGAGTCCGGGTGGCTTCCAGGTGCCGGGCAGCTGGGGGAGGTTGCAGTCACATCGGGATTTGAGGGACTCCCGTGACTCCCGGATGAAGGACAGGTTGTGCGTGGTGGAAAGAGACCAGAGCATCCTCATGTTTGCAGCTTTTTGCTTCTCCTGGATTACTTCCCTGAGATCATTTCCGGAATGCTCACCCCCCACCCCTACATTGTACCCTTGATTTCTTGGCTGTTTCTGGCTTACCTCTTCCGAGAGGCTGTGACCTCTTTGAAAGCAGAGGCTAGGTCTTGCTCATCCCTGCAACCCCAGCCATTAGGGCACCCAGCAGGCACTGAGTAAATGCCTGGGAATGAGTGAACTTCCGCTGAGCAGTTACCAAGTGCCAGGCACTACTCTCAGCACTTACACATATTCCTTTGTGTGCAGGGCCTTCATGACCACGCTCCTGGGGTGTGTTACTGTTACCCCCGGTTAGTTCGGGTCCTCTGAGAAGCAGACAGCAAGACAGGATTTGAGGGGAAAAGGAAGGGGAGCCAGGGAAGGCAGGTCTGACTCTTGGGGGAGGGTTGGGTAAGAAGATTCTCAGACAGCAGATGGTGTGGTCCCAGGAAAGCGTCAGCTGGGCAGCTGGAAAGTGGTCCAGCTGAAGTCACTGGTTAAAGGGAGCGCTGTGCCCCGTGGGAACTGGCCTGCATAGCTCCCCTTTACCGGTTCCACTAGGCCCCCGCTGCCTACCCGGGGCTTCAGGAGCCCAAAGAAGGGGGAGTTTGCTGGAAGATGGTCAAGAGCTGACAAAGAAGACAAAAGGGTCTTTCCTGAGCACCCAGAGGGCTATGGAAAAAAGATCAGTGTCTGAATCCCCACTGGAGCATTGCTGTAGCTGTATGTCTCCCCATTCAGCCATTCATTCAACAGATACTTCTTACCTCCTACCTACTGTGGGTCTGACCATTATAGATGGTAGTATATGCAGTGTGACTGAGTGCACAAACTCTGGACACAGAGGGACCTGGTTCAGGTTCCAGCTCAGCCACTTACTGTGTGGCCTTAGATGAGTTGCTTAACCTCTTTTTTTTTTCTTTGCTTCCTCGGT